TTGAGTTGCAAAAGAGAAACAGCTAAGAATGGTGCCAGAAATACAATATTCCGGAAATGTATAGCTTTAAGAGTTTTAAATGGCATTAGTAAATTATAAAGAGTTTTAAATGGCATTAGTAGGATCATTACAGATGATCCTACCAATACTAATTTCTATAACAATATTGGATCAAAATTTAAAAACTTTTGATAAAAAAAACTTAAATAGGAAACAATATTTTGTTTCAACAAAATATTGATCCAAAACATGACTATAATAACTAACACCATTTTTAATGAAATAAAACAAAAATGTTTTTAAATGACCGGTATGTATTCCTAATAAGAATTCAACCATATCTTGATTTAAATCTTTTTGAAAAATAAAATAAATATTTAAAGCAAGATATGGTTCAATCAGGGCCTATAATTTTATGGTTTACTAAACCTTGACAATGATTAAATCAAATGTCTTATAAAATCAATGCCAAATTCTTGCTAAATGTAATTTAAGAAAAAGAAGGACTAAATAAATATACTCTAGTATATTAATAAAACATGGTTTAGTTAATTATTTTAATTAACAACATTTTTTTCTTAGGTAATAAGTATGCTTAAACAAGAATGCTTTTCTATTAGTGTGTGCAAGATGTATTTTAGACGTCTATTATACATATCAATATAATATTGTTCTAGATATCTTAAACGTGCCTTGTGTTAAATTGAGTAATCCTTATAATGATTTTCTATAACACATATTTGCCTATAATGCTTTTTTTGAACAATTGTGTTCAAGTGTTTTACTTTGTTTTGGATTCTAAATAAAATAATTCAAAAACAAAAATAAAGTATCTTTCAAATTACCTAACTAAATAAAAATCAACCAAAAAAATTATTTATAATTTATAATAAAACATTTTATACAATGGTGTTAATTTTAATGTACTCTGTATTATAAATGCTGTCACTGTATGTACACTGTATGTTTTTTTCTTTACTTTACTTGGTTAGAGGGCTTAGCCTAGTCCTTTCATAGAAACTTTTTTACTTAAAAAACTTTTTGAACAGTTTTAGTTAATAATTAATTTAAATATACTTTAACAAGTATATTCATACATTTTTAGGGATCTTAAAACATATAAAACATATAAAACAGTCACTTCACTGATTTGGCATGATAAAATGCATTAATGCCCACAATTCTCTGAGGGAATTTTGAAGAGGAGTTCCAGTTATAAGCAAGCGATAGTTGGTTCGAAAATCTATCAACATTCGATATAGTAATGAGTCATCATTTTTTAATCTATGTGCTTCATCAATCATTAAGCATGCCCAATAAATAGATCCAAGCTTTTCCTTTAAAAAAAAAAAATTATATTCACAAAAATTGAACCAAGTTGATCATTTTAGCAAAATAAAACTTAATATTTCAATTTAAATAACTTGATCAAAAAAGTTTTTAAACAAAAATTGCAATACACATACACACACGCACATATATATATATATATATATATATATATATATATATATATATATATATATATATATATATATATATATATATATATATATATATATATATATGTATATATATATATATATATATATATATATATATATATGAACATCAATAAATACGATTTATAATAAATACTAATTTTTTTATTTAATCTAAGAAATTTTCGCTAGATTATTGATATTAGCATCTTCAGCTTTAATTACAAACTTAACAAATTAAGAAGATATGTTAAGATTGTAGCCTCTTCCAGAGAAATTGATGGATATAAATTGACGTCATAAGATACCTGTGTTTCATGGTTTGATATATTCCAAAGTTTAGCTGTTTTTACAAAAGTTGACGAATTTTTAAAATTTGTTATGTTTTTATCTAAAATTGGTTAAAATATATTCACTAGATATTGTGATATTCCATAACTTAGTGTCCCAATGGTTGAAACTACTAATCGCATAGGGTATGATTTTTCGGGTTTGTGCACTTTAATTACACTATACATACGTGGCGGTACTGGGTTGCTTGGGTAAAGACCTTCATATTCTTTTTTGGTAAATTGCCCTTTTTTATTCAATTTTGATAGGTAAGTTCTAATTTTAGTAGCAAATGTAGTAGTAGGGTCCTCTTTAATTTTCTTTGTTTTGCCTATTTCTTGACGGATTTTGTCAATGGCTTTGTTGTGTTCTATTCTAACAAAGCCTGCTCCTTTATCAAAAGAGTATATACCAATGTTTTTTTCCTCTTAAATTTGTTTTAATGCTTTTCTCTGTTTATGATTTAAATTACTGTTTTTTTTGTGGTTTAACTATTTTAAGTTGCCTCAACATGTTTCTGCATAAGTCTTGTGAACTCTCTATTTTGTTGCAATACTCTAGATTTAACGCAGTGGATTCTGTTACTGAAATAATGTCTAAATAGGGTATATTTTGTATAGTTGAAACAAATTTAGGTCCTAGTTCTAAAATATTTTTGTGGTTTTCAGGTATTTCTGTTTCACATAGGTTTAACATGACATCTTTAAGAAATGAAGGAGTCTTAACTTTTTCTTTTAAATTTATATTTTTTAAGATATAAAGATATATAAGTAAAAATGTTAAAAGTAGAACCCAAAAAATTTGAAAGAAAAGTTAAAGAGGCAATTAAAATTCAGTTCAACAAATGCGGACCTAAAAACGGAGGTACGAATTTAGATGATGGTCAATATGTAAAAACGCAATTCTAAATGCAATATTTTTTATACCTACGTAATATTAAAGAAGCCCAATTAAAACGAACTTTAAAAAAGCCATTAAAAAGTGACGTTACCGATTGTTTGTAATTGAATTTAATTAATAGTTTGTAATTAAAGCTGAAGATGCTAGTATCAATAATCTAGCTAAAATTTCTTAGATTAAATAAAAAAATAAGTATCGAGAGAAATCGTTTTTATTGATGTTCATATATTAAATTTATTCAACTTCCATACAAGATGTCATCATTTAAAATATATATATATATATATATATATATATATATATATATATATATATATATATATATATATATATATATATATATATATATATATATATATGTATATATATATATATATATTTATATCTATATATCTATAAATATATTTTATTTTTATATTTATATCTATATATCTATATCTATATATCTAAATCTATATCTATATATCTATATATCTATATCTATATATATGTATATATCTATATATATCTATATCTATATCTATATCTATATCTATATCTATATATATATATATATATATATATATATATATATATATATATATATATATATATATATATATATATATATATATATATATATATATATATATATATATATATATATATATATATATATACATACATGCAACCCTAGGAATTAAGGAAAATGAGGTCGGCAATAATTTGATGCCAACCTTAATCTTATAGAGGTCAGCATCAGATTAACAAAAAAAAATTCATTCTAAGGTCTCACCATAAAACATAGAAACAAGATTGGCAATTATCAGCTTTAAACACTTTTAGGTTGGCAGTTAGGTTGGCATTGCCGAATACCGACCCTAATTCCAAGGAATGAATATATATATATATGTGTGTGCATATATATATATATATACATATATGTGTATATGTGTGTGCATATATATATACATATATGTGTATATGTGTGTGCCTATATATATACATATATGTGTATATGTGTGTGCCTATATATATACATATATGTGTATATGTGTGTGCCTATATATATACATATATGTGTATATGTGTGTGCCTATATATATACATATATGTGTATATGTGTGTGTCTATATATATATATATATATATATATATATATATATATATATATATATATATATATATATATATATATATACATATATATATATATATATATATATATATATATATATATATATATATATATATATATATATATATATATATATATATATATATATATATATATATATATATATATATATATATATATAATAGTGTTCAAAAGTTTGCGGACAGGGAAAAAAAAAAGGAATTTTATTTATCAGCACATACTTCACTAAAGCCAACCTATTATATACCAATTAAAACATTTTTAAGCTTACAATTATGTTTTGAACAAATATTAATTATCTAATTAACATTTTTAAACTGGTATACAAATTTTTCAACAATATTTGATCATAAATTTATATAAAACCAAAACCACATTAGTATTTTGAAGGATATTCTTTACAATCAAGAATGGCTTGACATCTATGAGGCATAGAGTTAAATAAATGAATGCAACAACAATGGGAATAAAATATGGGAAAGTCTCATATTTTATTAAATAAATCAGAATAAATTGTAGGCTTGATTCCTTTCATTTGACGGTTAACATGTTCCCATAGATGTTCAATGGGATTCAAGTCAGGTGATTGGGATGGCCAGTTCAAAACATTAACTTTACTCTTTTAGAAAAACTCTAAAACCAATTTGTCTGTATGTTTGGGATAGTTATTCTGTTGGTATATCCATCATCACGGCACGTTATCCTTTGCATAAGGTAACATAATAGTCTTACATATATCTTTGTACTTTGCTTGATTCATAATCTTATTAATTCCATGGAGAGGACTAACTCCATTCCGACTAAAACATCCTCAAACCATTACATTACCTCCTCTATGTTTTACAGTAGGCAGTTGGTATTTAGGATCGTATCTTGTACCTACTGATTCCATCTGATCCGAAAACAGCCTAAACTTGCTTTCATCACTAAAAAGAATTTTTGACCATTGTTGACTACTCCACTTGAAAAGCTCTGATGCAAATTCCTTTGGGGCATGACAGCTTTTCAAGGGACTAATGGTTTTTTAGCTGGGCCTCTTCCAAATAAATTAGCATGACATAAACGATGTTTTATAGTAGAAATACCACAATTCATTCCATAGAAATGTCTCATTTGTACGTATATATTGACAGCTGTCTTGACTAATTTTCTTAGCCTATATTACAAGCTTTTTAACCTGATAACGTGTTTTATGTGGCCTTCCTGATTGATTTTTATTCTTTGTAGATCTTGTATGCTCATATCTCTTCATAATTTGTCCAACAGCAGACTTACCAACTCCATAAAGCTGTGCTGTTTAACAAAACGAATTTCCATTTTGAACTGATCTCAAGATCAATTTTTTCACGGGAGATGAAATACATTTCTTAGATCCCATGATCATGATAAAGTTTGTAAATTATTTCCACAAAGTATTTGTTTATAAAATCAACGAATTAGCAATTTTATGGTGAAAATGTTATGAGCTTTAGTTTGTCAGAAAACTTTTGAACTTATCATAAATCGTTATTTTGTAAACCAAATATAAAATGTTAATTAAATAATCATTATTTATTCAAAACATTATTATTAATCTGAAGACCTTTTGATTGGTATATAATATGATGGCTTAAGTGGTTTATGCACTGAAATACTAGTAAAATTTAATTTTTTTGGACGCTACTGTATGTATGTATATATATATATATATATATATATATATATATATATATATATATATATATATATATATATATATATATATATATATATATATATATATATATATATATATATATTTCTTTTTCAAACAATTATACAAACTATTCTAAAAACTCGTAATTTTTAGCAAAGTATGGCTTTTTTTTTTCTTGATTTAGTACTAGTTCTAACATTTTTTAACTAGTTCTAACAGAACTACAACAAATGATAAATATGTGTTATTATATCGCAATAGCCACTATTATTATATTTAGGCTTTTTAAGCAATGTCCTGTAGACAGCAATTATTGGCTAATCAGAAACCACTAAATAATTGCTATTACTGGTTTTGTTGTTGCAATTACAGAAAATAAACAACAATAATGGATGACAGAAAAATATTATTTTTCCTAAACATAGTTAACTTTTAAGTTTTTTTAAATAGGAACCAGCAAATGATTTAAATTTTTGCAGTTATAGAATGTGGAAGTAGACTACTTTCAAATTTAAAAAAAATTTCATGGGATACAATATAAGGTCTTACGCAACCTTTAGGGTAACCGTGAACATGAGCTTTATCAGGCCATTAGTTATGCTGATATTGAAACTAGGAGAAGAAAAATATTCTTGATGGGGAAAAAATATATATATATTTTTTTTAAATTATGTTTTTTAAACTGAAAAAAAAAATTTAATAAGAAATAACACTTTTTTTAATTTTTTTATACTATGTGAATAATTGAAGTTATATCAATACCAATACCTTATCTTTAAGCAGCATCTCGTATGTTGTTAACAAAACATTGAACTTTAGCCTCTTTGTTTTCTTGTTGCACCATTCATACTCTTGAATACTCTGCCTCGAATTTGCATCACCAATATAAACAATAACATTCATTTCAGGAGCCCATAAACGAAATTCTCTGGCCCAAGCATCCATTGTTGAAAGTGGTACAACAATTAGAAATGGCCCATACAGTGAATAAGTATGGAATAAATAAGAAAGAAATGAAATTGTTTGAATTGTTTTACCTGTAATAAAATAAAAGTACAAAAATTGTATATTAAACATCAAATCATATCATATCTTGGGAAATTTATTTTACTGTTTTAACTAATATTGTTTAAATTTTTTTTCTCTTTTTTTTTTTTTTTTCTATTCACAAGAAAATGAAAAAAATAAAAGTTACCCGTTTTTTAAATAAAATACTAAAAATTGCATCTTTGATGCTACCGTTTTTATTTTTATATGCTACCGTTTTTATTTTTATATATATATTTTTATATTGTTGTAAGAATAACTTTATTATTATTGTTTATCATACTAATTTTATTTTATTATATTATTTATCACCTAATGAAATTGATAAATGATGCTATATCTTGCAAAATGAATCCTAAAAATGATTATACAAAAAAATCAAAACAACAATTATTAGAAAAATCAATACTGTTATTGCATATCTCTATTTTAAATTTTTTTATGTATAAAATTGGCATTGAAATGCTGTTTTACAAGCAAGAAAATATTATATTATGATAATATTTTTAATGTTGTGGACTTGTGTGAGCATAATGTTTTGGAAGCTTTTGGAATGAAGAAATTAGAAAATTATATTGAAAGAATGGATGGCATGGAGAGAATGTGTAATAGATGACATAGAAGACCAATGTTAAAAACATCACAGTGAAAAAATGTCTTACAATTGCAACAGCAAAAATATTTCTGTTTTAATTTCAAAAACTAGGCTTCATTGTTTTGTTTAAACCAAAACATTGCACTCATATTTTCTAAAGTTTGAGGTTAGTTGATGCAAAATAATTGGTCTGAATAGAGCTTAAATAAATAATATATATAAATAATTAGAAAATTACAGTTTAAAATTTTTATTTGATATGTTTAAAGGGATCCCTAAGTGCTCCTAAAATATGATCTCATATGAAAGAGCATTAAAAAAAATATGTAAGTTTTTTTTCTTTTTCACTAAATTGTAATAATAAATGCATGCTAACAAAAAGCCATTGCCGAAATCACTGAAAAACAACTCCATTTTGATTTTATTTTTTCACCATTGAAACTCGATTGTTAGTCGTTAAAAATCACGTTAGTACGTCACAACAACTTTAAAATATCTACTTCGATTTTGAATTAAAAAAAAGTCGTGATTAAATAGTTAAGTTTTAATCAAGTTTTTTTAATTAGTTTTGCAAAAACAGTATAATAGAATTCGGTTGAAAGACGGTGTTAAAAAAAAGTTATTAAGTAATAGTTTTAAATAGTTTAGAACTTATAAAAAAAAGTCTTATAGGGCTCGTATTAAGCATATCGCGATCGCAATTGCTTTTCACACTTTTGTGATTAGTTTTTTCTTAAAAGAAATCTTTTCGCGATTTGTTTTTTTTTTGGTTGCTTAATTACTTTTTTTCTAGCTTAGCATTTTTTATAGCAATTCTTAAAAGTAATGTTTTTATCATAAAGAAAGTCACACAAAATTTATTATTCTGAATAAATAGATGAATAGATGATTTGCTCTTTCGCACGTAGATTTTCTTTTAACGTTAAACATTTTTGAATTTAAATTAATTTAAATTTCTGCGCTGAAAATTTTTACTAGGTCGTTAAAGCGAAAAGTTGAAAAGTTGGTTTTTACCTTTGTTTATCAAAACTTCATGCTTAAAATAAGGCTTAAAAACGTTAGAGCAAAAAAATTACTGCATTTTTATACTGTTTGAAAAAAAAAACTAATAAAAAAGAATTAATTGTTATTGTTATTAATTCTAATAATTATTAATTAATATATTATTAGTTAATTCTTTTTTATTAGTTTTTTTTTTTTTTTTCAAACAGTTTAAAAATGCTAATAAAAACCAGCAATTTTTTTTACTTTAACGTTTTCAAGCCTTATTTTAAACATGAAGTATAATTCGATTTATTTAACCAAATTTTTTTGTTTCATCTTTTATTGGAAAACTTGAAATAGAAAAATTGAATAAAAACATCAATCATTTAAATGAAAAACTTAATTATATTTAAAATTTTATTAGTCCTTTATTCAAGAAACAATATATTATAAAAAACGTGGTATATAATTTTATATTATGTTTTTGACAATTTTTTTTGATTTATTGACGATAATTTTTTCCCTCTATTACCGCACATCGGCGCGAGCTATAAGAGAGAAGGAAGGGGGGGGAGAGAGCAAAAAAAAAATTTTTTTTTTCGCAATTAGATTTTTTTGCGTTAATTCGAGCCCTGTCTTAGTTTAATTTCTAATAAAATGTATATTATCAATTTGAACCAAAAAAATATAGCAAAATTAACATAAATGTTAATTTAACTAAAACATTTTACAATAATTATTTTTTTTATCAAGCAAAAATGAGAGTAACCGTCACTTTTGAAACCATAAAAATGACTGAAATAAATTTATTTTTCTACTAAGGAAATATTATAAATAAACTTTCATGTGTCTAAATCAATATTCATTTGTTAAAAACTGACTAAAAAGAGTTTAAAATTTAACTTCTATCCGTGGAATTGCCCTTATAACACAAATATATAAATTAAAATTATAAAAAAAATTTTAATATACAAATATATTTTCACAAAATGCTACAAAACTTATTCTTGTAAGTAATTATGTGTTAGTTAAAAAAAAAACCACTTTACTTTTAAATTTAATTACCAACTAATAAGTTTGCAATAATGACATTTTGTCTACTTTGTTTATTTTGACGTACAAACGTTAGTTTTTTGAGGCATTAGAGTCAATAAACTTTGGACAAGACGCATTTTTTTTAATCGAAGAAAAGCATTTTTTTGAAAATTAAATTTGTTAGTGTGTGTTCATTATTACGTTTTAGAAAAAATAATACACATCAAACATTTTTTTTTTAATGCTCTTTCATATGAGATCATATCTTTATAGCACTTAGGGATCCCTTTAAACTCTTTTGGAAATAAAAATTGTGCCTAAAGTTTGGTAATTTAACAAGCTATTTCGGTAAACTAACAAAAATGTAAAAAATATATTTAAAAAAACCGAAATGATTTAAAATGTGGTAACAAAATATTTTTAATTTTCAGACTATTTTGTTTTTAAATTTTAATAAGAATGTTTGTGTGTGTATGAGTGTTTGTGTGTATTTAAATATTTTATATTGTTTAATCTTTTTATATTTATATTGTTAAATAATCTTAACTTACCCAGCCCCATTTCATCAGATAATATGCAAGAAACTTCGCGACACCATGCATGAACTAACCAATTTATGCCATCAAGTTGATAATCACGCAATTGAAGAGTTTGATTACCAAGGAATGCTGGTTGTGATTTAAAAACTACAAACTTTGGTCGCGTTCGCAAACACTTGGTGTTTCTGTTAGGAGTAGTTTCTGATCTTTCTCTATCTAAATATTCGTCAATTTGTGTTTGAAAAAAACGTGCAGTTAGACTACCATCTTCCCAGGAGCAATCTGAATAAGGTAGGCCTTGCCATTTACAAAGATAATCTGGGTATGTTGATGATGATTCAGAATTAAATTGATGAGCTAAAATGATGGGAAAAAAGTAAAGACCATTCATGCAAGTTTTTAAAAACATTTTATGTAGTAATTTTATGTGTGTTTTAGAAAAATTAAAAAAAAAAATTAATTGGAATAATTAAAAAAATCAATGCAATTTCTAAATTATACTATTATTAAAAACTTTATTTTATAGTTAAACTTTAAATATCTCATTAATTGTACTGCATCCCTTACATATACATCAGTTATTTAAGCAGTTCTTTATTCTTTCATTTTAAATAAAGATTTTGAAAAATTATTTTAAAAACATCAAGAAATACAGATTGGCTAAATACTATTAAGTTAATTATTTCAGAAATTTTCAATTGGTTATAGATACTTGTATTATATAGTTTATATTAAGTAAATATAATTATTATTATTAATTATATGTACTATTGACATCAGCAGTTAAATGACTTCTGCATTTTAATTTAAAAAATGGTGTCAAAAATATAGTTTTGACATATATTAGCGCAGAGCACATGTCTTTTGGTTCTTCTAGAGCCTCCCTAATTTTTCTTTCAAATTTTTTATTTTCTACTTTTACTGCTTTTGTTTTTTTCAAATAATATTCACTTTGTGATTATTCCTATTAGTCAATCATAAGCCTTTTTTATAGCTAAAAACCACTTAACTACTATAATTAAGATACTTATTTTAGAAATAAGAAGAAATAACACTTTTGTGACTTTCAAATCAGGGAGATAATATACTCTTATACAAGATAGTATTATTTAAAAAATATTATATAAAAAAAAATTCAGTTGCTTCAAGCGTGAGAACCTTAAAACTTTAATGAGCAAAATTGGAAATTTATCTTACTTTAGTATCTTACTTTACTTCAATTTTTTTAAATATAATTAAACATAAACAAGAGTGAGTAATATAGTACCTATATTTAATATATATATATATATATATATATATATATATATATATATATATATATATATATATTACATATATATATATATATATATATATATATATATATATATATATATATATGTATATATATATATATATATATATATATATATATATATATATATATATATATATATATATATATATATATATATATATATATGTATATATTTATATATATATATGACTCGAAAGGGAGTGCTGCTACATCAACTGAGGGTTTGGTTTGGGCAGGCAGTCTATCATTTAAGAAAAATAAATTATATATATATATATATATATATATATATATATATATATATATATATATATATATATATATATATATATATATATATATATATTTGTTGAATTTTAAAAACAAGTGTAAAACATTATGTGGTGCATTTTTATATATAATGAAATGTAAATATTTTCAAATTTTTGTTATGATTTTTTAGACATGTTTGGGTCCTGTAAAAATGTGTAGTTTTACATAAAAGCCATATAATTAGATCAACTTATGTAAATAAAACATTTACTAAAAACATGATTTCAATTCCTGTTATTAACAAAAAATTTTCTTTATAAAGTTAAACAAAAAAACATTTTTTTATCATGAAAAAAAAAGGGCATCTTTAAAGCAATTTATTTATGTTGATTTTTTAAACTCATTTATCAAATAAGACAGCTACTAGTTAACTTTATATATATATTTATTTACAATGTTGAAAGATGCAATGCTTTGTTGGTATAACGTTTGTATAAGTTGGTATAACGTTTATCTGCAGAAAAAATTTAATGAATCTTTCTAAAGCAAAGTATAAAAATATTTGACATAGCAGATGGCTTGCCACTGTAGAAGCTTTTATTTTTTCTGTATGAGTGAGCACATGTTTACTGGTGAACTTTATTTTTCAACTTTTTAAAAAAATATTTATATTAACTACCTATTACAGCTTGAAGCAACTTAATACCAAAAACTGCTGGTAGTTAATATATTCGTATTTATATATGTAACATATTCGTATTTACATATGTAAATACGAATATATGTTTATATATTATTAAGATAAATATAGCAACCTATGATTCTTTCAACTTGCTGGTATTGTTTGTGAATTTCTTCATTCATTTCTTGTTGACATTCAAAATACTCAATGTCCTCAGGTGAAGAAATCTTTTTCCATTTTTCTATATCATCCATTCTTTTAATATAATTCTCTAATTTCTTCATTCCAGCACATTTTTGCTGAAGAAGGGTTTCTTTTGATTCCCAGGTATTATGAAGGTGGGACCAACCTTTCCATTTAATGCAATATTGAACTTCTGTTTCCCCAGTAACTTTCTGTATTTGATCCTTAGATTCTTCTTGTTGAGCATAAATAGTAGTATTTGATCCTGTAGCTGTAAATGCAAAATAGAAATTTGTTTAGTGTTACAGCATTACAATTGGAAACAAAATTAATTTTAATTATTATGTACACATGTAATATGACATTTAGAAAAAAAAAAATTATGCGCGTGTATATATATATATATATATATATAATTCAAACATTATTTACTTGAGACTTAAAAGCTTGAATAGAACAATAGCATAAATTCAAGAAGAAAGTCTTTTCTTAGCAAAATGTATATTTGTGTATCTTCAAGGTTAAAGCTAAACTTTAAAGCACTAATATTCTTTTATATAAGGGTAATTAACAAAAAAAGTCATTAATAAATTAGAGCAGTACCTCCTGGAACACCAATTCTGTGTCTTGTGACTTTTTCAATGGTTTCAACATCATTTGGTGTTGAGTTAGAAGTTTCTTCAAGTTCAATCAAGTCATCAGGGTCAGTTTCGTCTTCACTATCCTCCTTATAACTTTAAAATTATATATTTTTATAAATAAAAATTAAAAATATTATTTTAGAATTATATATATATACAACCCTTGGAATTAGGGTCGGGATTCGGCAATGCCAACCTAACTGCTAACCTAAAAGTGTTTGAGGTCAGCAAAATATTGCCAAACTCATTTTTCTTAATTCCGAGGGTTGTATATATATCTATCTATTTATCTATCTATATAAATATACATATATATATATATATATATATATATATATATATATATATATATATATATATATATATATATATAAAATAGTGTGTGTGTATATATATATATATATATATATATATATATATATATATATATATATATATATATATATATATATGTGCACGCACATATATACACACACACACACATATATATATAGACACACATATATATATACATTATTATATATATATACACTATTTTATATATATACACTATTTTATATATATATATATATATATATATATATATATATATATATATATATATATATATATATATATATATATATATATATATATATATACATATATATCAACTTTATTTATACATATAAACAAAAAATTTGATTTTGAACAAAGGTACAAAAAATAAAACTTAAACAAAAGTATTAATATTTTAAACAAGTTTGAATGACAGATTTGTGTTTTGTGTTTTAATGTGTTGCATTCTTTTCAAAGCATAATACAGTGATTAGTTAATTAAGAGAGATTATGCAGATTATTTCATTTAAGAAAATTATAGTATATGCAACTTTGCATGTGCATAAAATTTGTTAATATTCAAAAACAACTGTTTTGAAAAAAAAATTTCATGAATGATTATTACTATTCAAATAGCTATATGTATTTTAATAATAACTCGATATTGTTTTTGTCTTTATAACAATATAATATTAATATTATTATCTTAATAGTAATAAAAAATTGTATTACTATTATATAAAAAAATTAAATAAAAACAAAAGTATATAAAATAAGCAATATATAGATAAATAAAAGTTATTATTAAATTAAAAATTTACAATAAATTTTTTTATAAAAAAAATATTTTTATCTATAAAATAAAACTTTGATAATTAAGAAACTTTTATATAGACAACAATTACTTAAACTTAGATAACTTAAATAAAACACAATACAAAAATAATATAAAACAGCACATAAAAAATATATATTTATATACACAGGAAGAAGATTAACAAATAGTTTATAACAATTTTATTAAGTAAAAAGCTTGCACAATGTAAAGCATTTATAGATCTTTAAAAGACAATAGAATGTCTATAGTAAGTTAAAAAAGTCTGTTTAAAAGTTAAAGAACTCTATGGTGGTTAATTTTATTTCTAGTTAAATGAAGGTTTTAGTCATAGCCTTGTTTATTGTGTTTATTATTAAAATTTTTAATAAAATAATAATTTTATCAAATAATTTTTTTTAATAAAATATTAAACAATGATATTGTATAATGAAAACAAGATGACGTATGGAACTAAATTTTAAACACTTTTCTTGTCATACAATCAACAATGTGTTTATCTTCTTATGGTACATGTAGCAATATAATTTATACCATAAATCTATGTTATTATGTATAATTACATGTAGCAATATATTTTATGTCATAAAAGTTCTTTTATGAAATTGCATATGATAATATATGATATATTATGCCTTTAGGCTCTTATGCAAGATTACAATGCATCAATATAAAAAATATATCAATATAATTTATATTTTTATACACTATAAAATAAGTTGAAAATTCAGGAAATCATTTATAAATATATTTTTCTATAGTAGAATATATGTGAAAGATATTTTATTTAAAAGAATATCAAAAAGAATATCTTTAAATTTTTATTTTAATAAAACTTTTAAAAACTTTTGTAGTATTAAAAATATGTTAACAAATAAAACTATGACTTAATTATATTTTACAAGTAAAAAAAAAATGGGAAAGCATCCTATTTAATTGTTACGGAAACCACACATAATTAATTCATAACCTCTAGAAAACTGAACTACCTTGTTTTTGTAGCTTTATTAAACTTTTAAGTTTTTAATCCCTTTAATAATTTTAAGCTAAAGGTTTATTTATTGAATAATCAATTTATGGTTGACATGAATTTAATTAGAATCTTCCGGTAACTAAAACATTGATTTGATGCAGATAATTGTTAAAATTTCAAATGAAAACAACATTAGAAAAATTTATTCATAACTTTATTGGATAAGATTTGTTTTAATATTCTTGATAGATAATTTAATTAGATTTATTCTTTCAGCAAAAAGAATTAAAAATGGAATTATTAATGAAATAAAAAGTAAAGAATTCTAAAGTCTAAAACAAATTAGTTTTAAAAATATTATAATACATTAATCTATAATTTGCTCTCTTCATGTTTAGTTAAACTTATGGAAATACTGAACAAAGAAAAAAAAGAAAAGTCTACAAAATTGATAAAATTTCAACTACTTCGATTTGCAAGAAGGCGAAGAATTTTATGTAAAAATGGTAAATAAATACTTTTTAAATTTACATATATATATAAAAAAATTAACAATAAATAATTTACATTAATTTTTTTAAAGGTATGTACTTAGCAATAGACAAAAATGGTGTACATGGAACAAAAGATCCAAAAAATCCATATGCTGACCTTCAAGTATTATCGATTGGCTCAGATATGCTTGCATTTTGGGGAACAAAAGCATGCTTGTACCTTGCTGTAAATGCACAAACTGGCCAAATTTACACCACACCAGATGAAGGACAGCATTGTGTTTTTCTAGAGTCTATCACACCTGACTTTTATAACTTCTATGAAAGCTACCGTTCAGTATATGATGGTCAACCACAATGTTTAATTCTAAATGCTCAAAACAAACTTATTATTGCTGATACTGGAACTGTTTTAGAAAAAAATGGACAATTTATTTGGGAACTGTTTGATGATGCTTATGAGAAATACAAATAATATAATGACTGACACTAGATTTATAACTTATCACATGATCACATGACTTCTTAAAGCAAAAATTTTATTTTTTAAATTAAAAACGATACCTCACCTTCATTATAGTAATGAAATAAATTAAAGATTTATTAATTTTTTTAATTTATCAAAAAAAATTTATTAATTTTTATAAAGATTTCTTTAATAATAAATTAAACTTTTTTAATTTATGCAAGTATTCATTTTTATTTCCAATTTTTTAAATAACTTTGTTAATTCCTAAATATATTATACATTTTTAATGTTATATAATATATATTATATTTATTATAATATAATATAATATATATTATTTAATATATAATATCAGACCTTGTGATGAAGGGGGAGCAATCGCTCTGCTTTTTCATGTCCATAAATGGCCATCCGGGCCCGACAAACAGCACTCACTAGTTTTGTAATGAGCGTAAAAAATTGCGCTCGTCTGATTAACTTGCAAGGGAGAAAATTATAAATTGATTTTATAAAAAATATTTGATGTAAAATTTTTTTGCTGAAGTCAAAATATGTTTAATTAGAAGAATTGGCATTTTGTTAAAAAGAAGTTGTATTCCTAATAAAAAAACATCACGCATAACTTATGCGTGATATACTTTTAATATGCCAGCCTATGATTTATTTCTTTTATTTGAAAGCCAAATTGAGCACAATGTTTTATTTTTTAACTCCAGTTGAACTTCATCATATTATTCGCCTAATCGTACCCTGGTTAAGTCAAACCATTTGCTAACTACAGTTTTTTAAGGTTTATTTGACAAAAAACTTCATTTAAATATAACTTTTACTTTAAATTGCATAAAAGTCCATGTAATAAAATATCAAAACTTGCAATACTTCAATAAAAGTTCCAAATTTAAATGTTAGAAAATTAAATATCTAGCATAATATTTATAAATATAGATATATAATATTCATTATAAATATTCATAAATATCTTATAAATAAATATGTAACATAATAATTTATCAGACTAAAACTTTACTTATGGCTTTGATTTCATGCAGGTTCAATTACATTCTATTAATTAATGACTATTATATTTAAAATTCAAAAACATCAAATAAAATTCAAAACGTTGGAATAGCAAACATTTTTGTCAAATATAACTTAATAAATTAAATATTTTCACTGATATTTTTGAATCGGTTAAGCATATAATAAAGTCTATATATTAAAAAAGTTGAAGCTAAATAAAACTAAAAAGAAAAAAAAAAAGTTTCAATAACAAATATATTTGTTCTATGTTTTGATTATTGAAACTTTTGGAAGCGTGCTCACAAACAACACAAGAAAAAATGCAACATCAATAGTTTCATGAACGGATTTGTCAAAATATACATTAGTATAAAAGTTATTTATATATTATATTTGTATAATTATATATATACTTACACTAATATATATTATATTAGTATAAGTATATAATATATTTATTAGGCATATATAATCAAGTATATAAAAAACTATTCACCTGATAATAGTTAAATCATGCATTTGGCTTAAATTAGAAAGCAGTTTTCTGTTTTTTTCTGTACAAACAAGGAATAGAAAGTTATGAATTACTGCTAACAGATAAAATGGAAT